GAAGGCTCTCCTGTGTTCTCCAGAGCTGCAAAAGGAGAGACTGATGCCAGAGGCTCCATGCAAATTTGTCTCAATCCACAGATGAAAAAAAAATCACCAGAAAGAAAATTGATTGAATCATAGAGTAACTTGGGGTGGAAAAAATCTTCAAGTCCAACCGTCAACCTAACCTATGTCTCTCAAATACCTTCAGGGACAAGGACTCCACCGCTTCTCTAGGCAGGCTGTTCCAGTGCCGCCCATTCTATGAAGAAATTCTTTCTGTTATCCGATTCTTCCTAATACCCGTGACAACCATCACAGAGAAAAAAGGAAAAGTTTTCTCTGCCTCAAGTATTTAGCTTATCCCTATCACATGTTGGAGAGCTTTCCCTATCTGATTCTCTTTCTAATCATGCCCAGTATTTGTTAATTTGTAATTAGTTCTGCTGTTTGCACTTGGCCTGACATCAAACAAATACCAGCTCCCTTCTGCTTCTGCTGCACTATAAGCCACTACACAAAAGAAACTGCCCTCATGTATTTAAGCTTCAACAACAGCAGACAAGCATAAGATGAAAATATTTATTTCTAGAATTAGAAACAGCCACCATATCTATCCACCAAGCTTACCTTCTATGGGCAGCTCAGGAACACAGCTATCTACCAGATGCATGAATTTCAGTTATTTTTGCACCTAAAGTTTTAAGAAACTGGAAGTGCATACCCTTAAATGACATGCCTGCAGCCTTGAACATACCAACCCAGAAGAAGACACGCTGGAAAATCAGGGAAACCAAGTGGTTGCACCATGGGTCAGGGCGGCACACTTTAGCTGAGGTCCCCGTTGTCCACAGCCAGACAAGTACCATGTGCTGCACGTGGCTTATGCAAAGCACAGCTAGCTTATCCAGGAACAAGTATACTGTGTTAGCAACGCATGCTTGATGAGATGCCTGTCTCCATTCTCAGCAGCCATTGCACCACTTAATGGGACAAAGAGGTTAGAACCCTTTTACCTACCTATTTTTCTTTTTCCATAGATGATCTTAAATAAGACAAAGAACACCTGAGTACCTTCTTTTTAAGCACTCCAGACTATTATTGAATTCAAAAAGGAATGAGGTCAGGAAGTAATCTGAGATTAAGAACTATTTCTTTTCCCATGTTTTCTGAAAAGCAGAACATGAAAGGTCATTTTCTCCCTAACACAAAAACATAAATGAATAATTTCCTTGCTCATAAGTCCATAACAATTGTTTATTGACATCTGTTAATTTTCTGTTGACTTCAAGTTCAACGATTCTGTGGTTTAGAATTCAATCAACTTCTGGTGCACATTGACAGATTTACCACTTCTTCCTCCTGTCTCTTTGTCCAGTGCCAAGAGACGGCTCAACCTCTTGGAGTTAGTTCTTCCTCAAGACTTGCAATTAGTCAGTCATCTGCTATTCCAGCTAAAGGATTTCGTTTTCATCCAGTATTTTCAGCAAGATTTTCTCATATATTATACATTTCATCTAATCTCCTTCAGCATAACAACAGCTTTAGGCCTTAGTAGGCTAGTTTCAGAGTTGGGTAAATTCTGACCTCTGAAAACATATTCGAGCATTTTTCCCAATGCACAAATGCTTGGAGTCATCTGCACAGATTTCTGTCATGAATGAAAAAGTTGTTGCTGGAAAGCTGCTGCTGGAGTCATGAAGGTTGCTTTAAAAAAAAGGGGTTCTGGGTTTTGTGTGGAATGAAGTACTTACATGCTTCAGGAGGGATACCTGGCTTTTCTGAATGGGAGGTAAATGGAGCTATGGAGACCAAATCATTTGTCTAACTTGCTTTACCAGATCATCTCCCCTTACATTCAGAAACAAAAGAACTTCTACAGCAATGATCTGGAAAGGAAATGCAACAAAAAAACAAGTTTTAAATGTTGTTCTTCACAATTTACTTTTGTTTCTTTGAGAGAGATTATGTTACTGAATGATTCATTTTGTTGAATCACAAAGGATGGCACAGTGAAAAACTTTTGGGAACATTCACATTCGAAAGGCTGCAGGGAAGGATTTCCCCCCTCCCCACATCCTCAGCATGTGAATCTGCAAAATGGGAGGATGCCTTCCCTCCCCAACAACCCTGTGCCCCTGGTGCTTCTAAGCAAGACCCTTCAGTACTTCCTCAGGAGATGAAGCAGCTTAACGGTTTTAAGATGGCTGCTCTTGAAAACACTTGCATTATTTCCTTCTTAAATAAAATGCGTGCAACGATATTGCTGTTAAAACCTATCTGAGTGGAATAAGGGAGACAGCACATGCCATGTTACGTTATGAGGCTTAACATTTAACTAATTGCATTGGCCTACTTACGTGAATCGGAGATTATTCTCTCATAAATGACATCTGATTTCTCTAGGTAGCCATTCGTGCTGTGAGAGACAATTGCAAGGGTCCTCAAGGGGATGAAGCCCCGTGATTTAACTATTCAAACATAAACAGAGAGCATCTCAAATTTTCATCAGTAATTTAACCACATGCAAGAAATGCAAAACAAAACTCTCCTCTTCTGCAACTTCTGCACAAATATTTCATTTTTAATTCTTATTTCTTTTTTACACAGGAATAACAAAGCATTAATTGAAATATGAAAAGCAGCTGACTGGCCCTGACATGGTGATGTGCTCTTTTGGTGGTTTTTTTTTGGGTTTTTTTTTTTTTTTTTTTTTTTTTTTCAGTCCCAGGGGGATTTTTGCAGGACTTAATGGGAAACAAATTGTTAGCACAGAGCCTGCAAATGGGTGCAGGCCAGATGTCAGCTGATGTAGGAAGGAGATCCGGCCTGTGCCTATGAATCCCTCTGGATACCAGTGAAGTATTTGAGATAAAACATCCCTTATTCATGTATCATCTTGCAAGCTGAGAAGGGCTTTTGCTTCTCTTCCAGGATGGAGATGCTGATAGGATAAAGGCATTCACATTGCAAGGTAGTATTTGAGTTCTCATTACCTCAGCCTGTTTCTCACAAATGGGAGAGCTAAGGAAGTCAACAGTGTGCCAGCTTAGTCTCCCACTTATGAATAAGGCTGAGGCCATTTCTGAACACATGCAGCTGTGTCCAGTGGTCTGCTTTGGCTCTCCATGCTGCACTCGGAATGTGAATATGGCATCCTGACTTGCATCTGAAATAATGTTGCCAGCAGGAACAAGGAAGTAATCATCCCTCAGTACTCAGCACTAGTGAAGCCACATCTTGAGTAGTTTGTTCAGTCTTAGGCCCCTCACTACAAGAAAGTCATCGAGGCCCTGGAGCATACCCAGAGAAGTGTAACAAAGCTGGTGATGGGTCTGGAGCACAAGTCGTATGAGGAGCAGCTGAGGGAGCTGGGATTATTTTGTCTGGAGAAGAGGAGCCTCAGTGGAGATCTTATTGCTCTCTAAACTACCTGAAGGTAGGCTGTGGCAAGGTAGGTGTTAGCCTCTTTTCCCATGCAACTAGTGATAGGACTAGAGGGAATGGCTTCAAGTTGCACCAAGGGAGGTCAAGGTTGGATGTTAGGAAATACTTATTTTTCTGAGAGAAAAGTTAAGCACCGGATGTGGTGGAGTCATCATCCCTGAAGGCGTTCAGGAAACATTTAGATATTGTACTGAGGGACATGAATTACTGGGAAATATTGGTGATAGGTGGATAGTTGAACTGGATAACCTTGGAGGTCTTTTCCACCCCTGGTGATTCTGTAAATCTTTCTGTTTATGCTTTTTTATTGTTCATACAAAAATTCTGCTGCCAGGAACAGAGAAATAACTCCCCAAACTGCAGACATCTGTTTAGCTGATTGCTTCTCTAAGCTGCCCAGCTTTCAAACCAAATTCATCAGATTTCATTGATCATTAAACTTGGCCTATTATTAGAGCTCCAGTAATGTTGATGGGGACTGATTAAGAATGGATAATCTTTCAGATTCATTCATGACCTTTACTGTACATTTTTCTTCATTACATAACAAAATATCATAATCAAAGCAGTGCATATGCACGGACAAAACAAGCTACAAAGGTAAAAATAGACATATTCAGATAAACAATGGGTTTAAAGTATGCGCACCTTTAGCATTTCATTATATTTCAAATTAAAGAACAGCAACAAAAACGGCAATTAACAATGGATGTGGCAACATTCCAAAATGAAATATGTGATTATTTTCAATTCTGCCATACTACACAGTTCTTTGAGCAAAACTGTTTGTCCGTTTAGGCCAGTCTGAATCTTTCTTTGAATATATCATTCGCTATAAGAGAAGGAAAAATGCAGAGTTCCATTATGTATAAAAATAAAAGGCTAAGCTGATTTACAGGTTTCTAAATAACATCCCTCATTAAAATTATGATGGCATTATTAATCTGTAATATATTATACTGACTTGAGCAAATGAACATTTAGTACAAGAAGAAAAATGTTCTGCCTCACACAATAAAATGACAAGGTCGGGTGAGGAAATTTTCAAGGGAGTGAAGACAACCACTGCTTATAGAATTACACCGAAACCTCTGCCTTCAGCACTCAAGGACGCTTCTGCAGACAATTCTCCTGACACACACAGCGTGAAAGCAGACTCACTAACATAAGGTAACCTCATGTTTGATTTCAAACTTTTTGCTTAATTGGGATGCAATGGAGTGTGGTGACCGGCAAAGGAGGGGGTGGGGAAGGGCTGGCATTGATTCAGAAACCAAGGGAATGACACCACTTGCGATGACAGGGAAAGACGTAGGCTGTTGTGTGCTTATCCAATAACAGCCAGTGAACACTCTGAAAGGGACCATCTGCTGAGCTAAATCTTGGATTTAGTTTTAATCCATGTGGCTTCCTCTGCATTTATCTAGGGCTTTCAGACAGAGCGGAAGGCCTCAGTGTGACCAAGGAAGAATAGAGGTCACTTCGTTAATGTCTCCATGTTCCTACATGACACTGATAGAAAACTGACTTGGTGACTCCATAGGATACCTAAACATACGCCTACAAAGGCCCACAAAGCCTTCTGACTGTGGCTGACCGCAAGAAAACCAGAGAGGCTGCTCTGTCACCAATGGCCAAATGACTGAAACAAACTTCTGTGTGCTGGGGCAGCAGATTGCTCTAGGAGACAACCTCTGCCATGGACACCGAAGAGAAGATATCTGATCCGAATGGATGTGTATCCTATCTGAATAGAAAGATATTTCCTTCAATAGACAAGAATTCCAGCCAATTTATTTTCAGTTCTAAAGCTTCCAAAAGATGGACAGAAACTAAACATCATTGAGATGAAAAGCAAGGTCTCTCATTGCAACAAGTTACAATGCACAGCCCCAGGCTAACTGCATGCAGCTGGCTGGCAGACAAGTTTTTCTTGGTGTCAACATCTGTTGCAGGCTGTAAGAGGAGCATAACTAGAGAGCTTAATCTGCAAGAAATCACCAGCAGAGGAAAAGCAAAGGTTAAATCAGTTCGTCACATTACTGAGTTCATTAGTTTAAATGTATGTGCATAAATTGATTCTAATTTTAGAAATCATGGAAATTTATTTCACTGTTCACTCATGCAGTGAGTAACATACAGCAGAAAAGAAGGATTACTTTTTCTTCAGGTGAACACATCCGCTTTTAATTTTTTAATTTAATTAAAAAATGTGTGGAGCTGTGTTCACCTGTACTATGAGAGCTTCTGAAAAGCAACCTTCATACAGCTTACAGTGTAGTTCTGCCACAGGCAAAGCTTTTCTCCTGGAAAATTTTCTTCTTATGAAATGGAAATAAGTAGTTCTTCTGCTTCTTTGTAACTGAAGGAATTATCATCCCTCATAGACTACTTTACATATTTAATGAACAATTAAAAGCTGATAAAATATGGCTTTAGTTAAACCTATTTTAAATTTCCTCTTTGAGATGTACCCGTCTTCACTGATATATGGGAAGAAAAGAATGCCAAAGCATAAATATTCACTGCAAAGTTGAGACAAAAACAAATGTAAGGAGGTGCTACCATCACGGTTTGCCTAGGCAGTTTGACTAGAATGTCAGATTAGACCAGTCCAGAACACCAACAGACACACTACAAAAAGTGAATGAAACCCCAAAGCATATATGTGAGGCGTATATCAGACCTATTTACGTAACACCAGCCAGCACTGTTCCAGAACCTCTGCATTTGCAGATTGCACACAACAGGAATTAAGCACAACAATGCTGAACGATCTTTCCTGAAGTCAAACAAAAGGAGGAAGATCTCCACTGACTTCAGGAAATCAGCTTAAATAAACCTAAAACTACTTTTCTCTTTCCTTACTGTTTCCTTATTGTCATCTTTCTCGGCTTTTTCCAACCATAAGTGGGACTAGCTTAGTTCATTGAACCAATATTTAATGTGAAATATCTGTTCTTTCTCAAAAAAGATGAGGAAAAAACTTCCTCAGGTATTCTTTCCTTAATCAGAACCTTAGTAGATGAATTTTTTTTTTTCCTTAAAGGGAGGTTAAAATATAATAACAAGGATTTCATAACTATTTTGTGCTTGATACCAATAAGACATGATATGATAACACCTGAAATACAGGAAAAAAGTACAGGAGTAGAATAATGGGAGGACTTGAAGCTGCTGATCCAACTACAGGCAACTGTGCAATAAACAGCCATTGTGTGAGAGCCCCAGAACATTACCTCCTCATTACATTCCCTCAGCTCTTGCCACAGCATACTTTCCAAAAAGTGTCACCAACCACAGGAAAAGGAAGCAAAAGGCATAATTGTAACATGTCACAAGATCAGAACAGAAAAAAAAAAAACAAGCCTATACGCCTGGAAATGGTGCTGAACAGCCATTTTTACTTCGTGCATAGAGCTTAATCAGACTTACGTAGCCTACTGGGACAAGAATGAAGATGTGAGGCAGCATTCATTTAAACTCCAAAGCGTTAGGTGTTAAGGCATGAGCCTTATTCTTGGAACTAAGACTTTTGTTCCTATCCATAAAGCACGAGGTATATTACTGTACCTTTCCTGCTGTGACTTAAAAGCCTTTAGGTGTGACTTTCCTGCATAATTTGCTTACTCCGTGTAGTTTCGTCTTCAGCAACATGATTTCCAATGCAAGTCAGTTAATTCTACTGAGAGACTCCCCTTTAAATGGGGTTACAAGGAGCTGCATAGTTTTGTTTCAGTTAAAAATCTGGTTTCTTGAGATTGAACACCCTTGCAGTACACTGTACTGTACTGACTAATTACCAGCAGTGATTAGTCCAAGTAGTTCCCTTTTCTTGGTCCTGCGATTTCCTGCTTTTGCATATTATATCCTTACACTTGAAAATTTTATTTCCTTATTGGAATCAGAAGACTCCACACTGCAAACAACCACCAAAAATATTGAAAATTAAGCTTCTATCTCCTCTATATATAGCAGTACGGAAAGTAGAACTGTTAAGAAACATCTAACCTTGCTTATACCTTGGGAAATGCAAACGCACCCAGTCGTTTCATTTTCTGGAAGACATTCTATAGTCTTAATTATTTTCTCTACAAGAGAAGGCCAAAGCCATACGCAGTTTTAAAGATGCCATATAGCACAGTGGGTTTGCACAATGAGCCAAGTTTTGCTTCAGTTTCTTTCTCAGTAATCATTAACACTCACTTTTCTCACCAGGTATCAGGTTTATTTTTTCACAGTATTCCATAAAGTGACCTTAACATCCTGCTCCTGTGTATGAGAGGTTTATTTCTGTGTAGGTGAAACTACTTCTCCTATTGCGCATCAGTTTACGACTATGCTTTCTGAACTCCATCAGCCATTATTTCACTCAGTTGCACAATCACTTGGCTTTTCTGCCAGTTTCTATCATCACCACCATGAATAACGGCATCCCAAAAGTTTGTCATTGCACTCTTCGCTGCTTTTTCCAGACAACTTAAAACTTTGCTGAACACCAGGGCCACTAACAAACCCTGAAAGATTCTGATGAATATCTCTCTTCAGAGAGAGAATTGACTTCTAGTCACCAGTTTTATTCATGCGAAGACCTTTCTTCTCATGACTGCCCAGCTTATTTGAAAAGCTTTGGAAAAAAAAAGAAAAGATTATGTAGAAGGCCTTTTGTAAATTTGTGTATGCTACATTAATGTTCTCTCTTTCATTTACATTCTTCTTGACATCATTGCTTTCAACTGTAAATGTTCATAATGAGTTTTTGACACATGCCTTGTCTATACATAAGCCTGCCTGAGTCTTCTTCAGTATATCTTATTTATTGTAGTTTTCCTAATCCTGTTTTTTTTCTGTATCCCACAACAACTCCAGAGATTACAGACATAGGTGGATAATTTGAGAGAAATTTTCTACAAACTTTAAAAAAAAAAAAAAAGCTAGAAAATTTAGTCTTGTCACATTCCACTCTCTGCGGACAAGGGGTTTTTGCATAGCACTGCATACCCTGATTCTTTCAGTTTTCATCCCTAAATGCAACCCATCCGAATCCAGTATCCTGATTGTTATTCTTGCTGCCATAAACATTCCCAATGACACATCTATTTGATACTCACACTTTGACGTGCTCCTTAAAGAAGTGCTGTGGGAGAACATTGTCTCCTGTGTTTCTTCTCTTTACTGAAGAAGCATACCAAGGATTTCTTACTAGAAGAGGAAAAAAACAGGAATGTTATTCCATTTTCACTGTAGAGCAGCTGTTACCTTGTTGAGTTTTGGACAGATTAGTAAGTAGCCATACTGTTTTCAGTCATTCAAACTATGAATTAACGTCTAAGGTAATAGCCTTAGAATTCTTCCTCCTTCTTGTTTATATTTTTCCAAATTACTAATCAGCACTTGAAAGTTACCCATTTACATTGCTCAGATTCAATATGCCACCTTTTGGAAGTAAACGCCTGATTGGATTCTGCTGCTCTGCTTTACCTTGTCACTTTTCTTTACAGCAGACTTTTTGGAGAAAGAGACACTCTGGTTCACATCCCACTGAGCAAGTGTGCACTGGTATTGCAAGCCAACTACAATGAATTCTCACATTCTTTGACACTCCACACCACAAGTTGAAGATTACTCAAGTTTATAAATCCTCTAAAGAAAACCAGATTGTTAATTGACAGGACAAAAGCTTGCCAAGTTTTCTCTCTTCTGCAGTTTTGAAGGGAAAATACTGGTCACTGAGTTTGTTCAACTTTCTGATCCTCTGCAGTTGGTAGAAAAATGCAGTGTGGTACATTATAATCTCATTTGGACTTTGATTCATTTAAATCAGTTTGAACTGATAAGTAGCCAAATGTCCATTCCCCTATATAAAATCCATGACAAACAGTAAAATATCATCTTATATTCAAGTGAGTTCATTCCAGTGCAAACTGCTGTAAGAACGTCAGAACCACTCCTATGAAGAAAGGTCGAGGGAGTTGAACTTATGTAGCTTAAAGAAGAGAAGGCTTTTTGGAGACCTCATTGCAGCTTTTCCAGTACTTGAAGGGAGCTTACAAGCAGGAAGGGGATCAACTTCTTCCACGATCTGATAGTGATAGGACAATGGGGAATGGCTTTAAAATAGAAGAGAGGAGATACAGATTAGATGTCAGAAATTTTTTTTCCTCTCAGTCTGGTGAGGCACTGGCACTGCTGCCCAGAGAAGCTGTGGATGTCCCATCCTTGGAGGTGCTCAAGGCCAGGCTGGATAGGGCCCTTGGCAGCCTGATCTGGTGGGTGGCAGCCCTGCCAACCCCAGACAGCAGGAGGATTAGAGCTCAATGATCTTTAAGGTCCCCTCCAACCTAACCCATTCTATGATTCTGTTATTAGTTGATCACAAACCGCATGTATATGTGATAAAATATTAGTCTTTCCATATCATTACATTTAATTTGATTGTATAACAAACCTCCTCACAATGAAATTTAGCAGTGTATAATTGTTTCACGGTCCTAAAGTTATTGTACATAAAAAATGTACAAGTTGCATGTCTTTAGTACAATATAATGATCCTCAAAGGTTTGTTTTAGAAAACAGAATAGTGAAGTTAAAAAAAAAAATATCATGAATTACGTGAAAGAGTCTGTAAGTATTTGTTATCAGCCTTGCTCATCGTTGGGACAAAGGCAAAAGGGTCATGTTAATATATAAGAAATCATTCAGATATTTAAGTATTATTTAACAAAAAACCGAACACCTGTAATTTCCACAAGTGACAAGAACAGTAACACAGAGTGTGGACTACCAGCATGAGTAACACTACTCAAGAGCAGAGTTCACTAGAATCCCCTTTTCCCCCCCTTCACTGTTAGCAGCAAGAATCTCTTCATGAAAGTGGTTGGAAGTTGAATTTGAACATTTTTTTTTGTTTTTCTTATTTGTCTCAATGTTTCAATGTAATGTTGAAAACGTCTCATTTGTTTCAGTGCAAGCAAGTATTCTCCTTTAATGCACTCAGAGTTGAAGGGCTTTTTTTGTTAGAGATCAAAGAAACATCTTTTATTTTGCTGCCTGCTTAATTCATAAAACAAAACAAAAAAACCCAATGATCTTCTGCTCAGTAACTCAGTGCAATACTTGATAATTAAAAAAAAGTCCCCAAGCTTCCTTCTTTTCCAAGAAAATGATGCATTTGTCTTGCGAGCTCGTGTGAGAGTTACGATTGGCATAGTTGTCATTGGGGGAGTGGTTTGCATGTTAACAAACACTATATGTAAGCCTTTTCCACAGGGGCCAGCCTGCAGAGGAGCTCCTGTGCACTGAGGAAAGGACCACGTACTACTGCACCCAAGTGAGTTCTGTTTCAGCTTTGCTTACTGCAAGAACCTGGTTTCTCTTCTTCCCACTTTCTTCTCCTGACCTCCTTCTGCTGTTATAAGAGCTGCATAGTATTTGCTCTCTACAAATCACACTATTTGTGCAAGAAGTTCTGAGAGTACCTAATACTTTAATTTTGTTAAGTTCATTGAACATAAGTCTATGGCTGTGGCTGTTGGCATAATAAGGGATAATCCTGAGTTCTACACATCAGCTGCACTATCTACATAACGCTTTTTAGCTGCTTACAAACATCTTTAAACTTCCACCTGTACATTTGGCACCTGTACAAATGCACACAGTGCCTCAAACAACCTTCAGATATATCTTTTCAGATATTTTCTATCAGATCAGATATCTTCTGCAGCAGCAAGCCCCCACCTCTCATCAGTAGCTGATGCAATCAGCACTGAGTGGCTTTCATACTTGAGATAATTGTCAGAGAAATGCATTCAATAGGAAAAGCAGGCAAAAAAACTAATACAGGTTAAGCATGCAGGGCTCTGCAGGGGGCTTTCAGTAAGCGAGAGAGCAGTTTAGAGCAATATTCTGCTAGCTGTAATGACTGACACATGCACTTGCTTATGTAACCAAAACAAATCTAGGCTAATGTCAGAGAATTAGATACATATTAAGCAGCACTGAACAGTTCCTCTAGGTCATTTTTCCGCACTGTTCTATTCATATTCCAAATTCCCACCTGTTCTCTGGCTCATCAGTGGATTAACATGCTCTCATTCTGATTCCTACTATTATTTGATAAAAGAAATCTTCCTGTATCTGCTTCTACTTAATGCATTTTTCTTCATTCAAAAACACAATTTTTAATCTTCTCTTCAAAAGGATTCTCTGAGTATCTGTCCAGGATTTTTTTCTTTAAAATCTCACTGCCTTCACTATGTGCAGAATTGTCCTGGGCACATTTTCTCTGCTGAAAGCCATCCATTACACAAAGTGACTTCTTCAATTCCCATTTTGTGCAGCTACAATTGTTACCCTCAAAGCAGCAAACTCCTATGCCACTGATGGAGATAGTCTGTAATCTCAGGGTTTGCTCTTAAGATTTCTAGTAGCAGTTTGTCACGCACAGCCTTCTACTCAGCTATTAGAAAGCAAAACCTGTTGAAAATATAGACCACTTTTGAGCAAAATCTCACTATCAATTTATTACAATAAATGGTGGTTAGGTTGGCATGCCATTTGTTGATTGCTAATCTGCAAGTGGCACGCCATGCTGCTGAAAGATATGAACATGAATATATAAAGGCTTACCATATAGGCTGCAAATTTCAAATATACTCACCCTGTTGCTAGTTAATCCAGAAGGAAAATAAATAGTATCTGCCATATCCACACAGCTCATACTCAGTGTAAACAACTGCACGTATTTGGAGTCCGCCTACTAGCACTCCCATAAAATAAACTACAGCAATGAACTGAGAAAGTTAAATACTCACAGTTGCCACTCCTTAGAAGTACTGCAAAATAGTGCTGGAATGACTCTTGTAAAGAGTAAGAGCCTGCAATGAAACAGGACAGAAAACAAGGATATTCAGCTAATAACAGACAGGCATTTCTATGCTTTGGATCTGGGTAACAAACAGCAGAGGAATCTTGTGATACCACCTGCCTACTTTTCACCAGGTGATATTTGTGGGAGTGGGAGAGTGGACATTATGCCCTTCAGAGTCTACCTATGCTAACTCCTACTCACAGACAATTAATACCAGGATACTTCAAATACAGTCTTGTGCTGAACTGAGCTAGAGTAGAAGCAAGTCTCCTTTCAGTGTTTAAAGGGAGATAATAAACAGTAGAGAAACCAACTTCTTACATGGGTAGACAGCAATAGGGCAAGGGGAAACGGTTTTAAGCTGAAGGAGTGGATACATAGATTAGATGTCAAGGAGTTTTCCCCACATAGAAATTCCTGAGGTACTGGTGCAGGCTACCCAGAGAAACTGTAGATGCAGCAGCCCCGGAAGCATTCAAAGCCAGTTAGGATGGGGCCCAGGGCAGCAGCCTAGTGCCTGATCTAGCAGTTGGCAACTCTGTCCATGGCAGGTGGTTGGAGCTTGACAATCTTTGAGGTCTCTTCCAACCCAAGCCATTCTATCATAACACATACGGATGTACAGAAAGTAGCAGTTGAAGGGCTTCAAAAACTTGCTGTGGTACAATAACTTGCCAGCCAAAAAGAACAAACACAGGGCTCAAGCCTCTATCTGCTTGCCTCAGATAAATATTTTGTAACAAGTTCTGGGCGCAGGCACTGTCTGCAGTGTCACAGAGCTAAGCTCTGTCTGTTTGCTTCGATTATAAAAAAAACTAAAACGGCCAAAAATTACTGCTGAGTAAGTACATCGCTCCTAAGTGTAGGGATTTACAAGTCGAGCAGTTTGTGAACATAAGTCAGGACATGTACCACCAGATGCAGGCGACCCCCAGCCTTTAGGCCAAGTGTTCTTCAAAGCTACAGGTTCACACTTCTCATTACTGGTCTGTTTGAGAAGACCAGTGAAGCCTAAAGAGCAACTTAGACCTTTGTCTCCTCTGGTTCATTCTGCTGTGAAACTAATGTCAAATTAAGTGGAAAAACACCACCACAACAGGAGATAAGAGCACTGGGTCTAACAGCAGTGTGTGCCACCATTCTAGGGCAGAGCAGGAGGGTACAGAAGACCTGGTGGGCAGTGCTGGAGACCTCTGCCAATTGAATAAAATCAGGCCATATTTGCACGCGTGGTAAATTGATGGGGCGCACATTCTTCTGAATATCCTATTTTTTCCTTAATGTGTGCAGCATTGTTTAATCTTGGCTAGTTGCACTGCAGATTCACAGCAGGTGACAGTTAAAGAACAAAGCAGTTTAGACTAGTCCAGACGAGGAGCTGACGTAGCTGGGATACAAGGAGAGGAACAAAAACAAACAAACCAAAAAAAAAAAAAAAAAAAAAAAAACAAGAAAAAAACCTGTTTTCCCCAGTTCCATTCCCCACACCTGAGGAAAGATAATAGGTGGCCAAAACAGCAGTTACAAAGTTATTGAATGAACTTGAGCATTCAGGGCAAGGACATAAATTCCCCAGGCAAAACCAACAGCTGCCTATGGAGAGCTGAGTAAAACACTTAAGAAGCAGCAGTGACTCGCAGCTATTCTCTTTGTTTTATGGGGAGTTAAAGGGAGGCCACTGGTTTGTCTGAAGACTACAGAGGCTACAACGCACAAGTTTTACAAGAATGACCAGTGTTGGCAAGAGTTATGATTATTTAGACTTTTGTTCTACCGTAAAACACTTAAAGGAATTTTTAAACATCCGATGAGGAAATAAGACCTAAACAGTCTCTCATGAAAAATCATCTTCGCCACTCTCTTGTCTGGCTATTTCCTGACATTTCTGCACTTGCAATTTTATCTGTGTCCCTTGGTCTCAGGCATCCAATTAACCCATTTGAAACTCTTTACAATTTGGGAGGCTGTACAAAACTGTTTCAATATTTATTTAAATAAAAGTGGGACCAAGAAATAAAAAATAAAAAAAAAAAAAAAAAAAAAAAAAAAAAAGCCTGAGAGTCTCTGAGTCTCAGAAAGCAAAATTGTCACAGATACTCAAAAAAGTCTGCCAGACAAAGCAGACTGAGAAGCCTTATTCCACTGCCATTCTGAGCAGGCCACCACCACACTGACTGATTCAGAACGATCATGTGAATGCACAAGACTCACATCTAGCCACTCACATGGAGTTAAGCATGCACTCGGATGTACAAAACCATTCTCTCATCCAGCGCTTTCTTTGACCCCAACAAAAACCTAGCACAAAAGAGAGTTAGGACCCAAACCTGTTGATTCCTCCTTCACCTCCCACTGAAGTTTTTATTCCAGGCTAGACACTGACCCCTGGCCAGCTGCAGCTGACAGGAACTATTCCCAAGGACAGTAATGGATACAGGGCAAGCTTTAGGGGAATAGGGCACTGAAAATGCATTAGAAAGGAAGGTACCCCTTAAACTCCAAGGCAGTGCTGCTTCACTACATTTTTTGTAGACATTCTGTGGCTAGTTCCACATACAGAAAGGCTAATTTTGCCAACAATGTTCCCCATAAATACAGATCATATTTGTAAAGGCCTATTTGATATTTAGCAATTCCTAAAATCTTTATGGTTATAATTTCAGGCGATCAAACATATTGCTAGCATATAACCAGCAATGTCTCAAGGACTGTTAATAATAAAAATATACACACACACACACACACACACATGCTTATACCTATGCATATATCCAATCCTGAAAACCAAGCTAAGGAGTATCAGGCTGTAACCATCGCATTTGGGATTTGTCATTTCAAAACTCAGTCCTACATAAAATTTCATAAACGTTTACTTCAGACGATTTGTGTTTTAAACAGAAAGGAGGGTGCAGGTTTTTTTTTTTTTTTTTTTTTTTTGTTTGTTTTAAGTTTTCTTCTCCAATCCAGATAGCCTGATTGCATTGGAAAAAAAAAGGGGAGGGGGGAGGAAAATCAAATGAAAATGTTTATTTTCTGTAAATGGGTGGTGGGGGAAGAGGCATCTGCTTTTCAGAAAGTTGGTTTATGTCAAATGGAGCCGACAGCAGCTACATAGAATTACTCAAAGCTTTTCATTTTACCATATGAAGACAAAGAACACTGTTGAAATACTTAATAGAAGTCTTCACAGGTCTTCCAATGAATCTGCCAATATCCTCCATGCATCCTCCTCCAAAAGAAGGATGGAAATTTTCTTACTTTCACAGCTAGAGAAGAATTAAAACATTATTGGGGAGAAGAAAATAAAAGCTTTTTCTTTTGTAAATTTTCTGAGACACTAAATGTCTCTTGAGCCTCTAATATTTTTTACTCTGTGTTACATGCAGGAATTTATTCTTGAGAAAAAGGGACACGTTTTACATTCTGTGGGAAATGAGCACTTTTCCTTTTAGCAGCATGTTAAAAGAGATCCATCTAGATTCTTCAAACAGGACTTTCAAGCCAAGATTCTGCACTCTCTTAACTTCAGCCAAAACCCAGGTCATTATCAGCTCAGATTTCTTTTTGTACCATACACAGGCTTGACAGGCTTGCCCAATTTGCAGAAGTAAGCAGAAGGCTTGCAAGGCTCTTTAGGTCTCTCCTGCCAAAGCACAGCATGTGTCATGGAAGTATCTCCACTTCTCATGGAAATGGCAGGAAAACTCACTCCAAAAGGGAACTATTCCAAAAACTGGAGAAGGAGAAAGCTGCTTTAGTCCTCTCTAAGCAGATGAGGTATCTCCATGTCAGAGAACAGTCAGCAAGATAGACAAAACTGATTTTAATATCACTAGTGTTTCACAGGTGAAATGAGGCACAGTAAGTGCCTTTTCTGGTTAAAATCTTTCTATATGTTCATCAAGTAAAACAGCTCTTCCCAGCTCCTAAGCATTAAAATCAACAATTAATGCTTCCTACTTGGATAGACAACTTCTGACAAAATAACCTCAGGAAACTTTCTCTTGTAATGCGTCTGTCTGAATTAAAAACAAGGTCAGACAGTTTCTCTCGTTCTCTATATTTAACTTCGTAAGTTAAATATTAGCACCATTCGGCTCAGCAGCTAGGACAAAGAAATAGTTTTCAGTGCAAGAGGTTCAGTTGCTACGGATTAGAAGGGTTATGCCAGCTTATGCAGCTTGATGCATCCTGGGCATCACAGAAATACACAGGTGAGTAAGTATATGAACTAGTTGAAATTACACAAGCCTCTCTCTGGTAGGACACCTAAATCAGGCTGTTAGATCTACATGATTCTATGATCTGTATCTATTTCAGACCTACTCATCTACTCTCCAGGTCAGATTTACTCAAACATTGCAAAGAAATACCAAGTAAAAAAACAAAAACCAACAACAACAAAAAAACAAAACAAACACCGCCAACTCTTCCAGGCTTTCAGATTTCAAATACAGCACTGCTTAGGGAGGGCATGATCTCTGTTTTCTGCTTCATAAAGCAAGATACTTCTTGGCAGAAGGATAACTGTAGATTTAAGAATCTTTGGTGTTCTATTGTAAAATAAACTGAGGTACCCATCCATTACCTCTCTTGTCTTCAGGGGAAGATTTTCAGCTTCCTTGCTACAAATGGCTCCAAGTTACCCTCTCACGCCCTTCAAAGATGCAGATTTCCCCTCAGGGAGATGCCAAGGCCCAGCCTTATTTTTTTTTTCCTCCCCCATCAGTAATGATTCAAGATTAGTCACACGCAGCCACCCGTGCCTGGTGAGCTCTTGGCTGCTGAACCCCGAACAGCCCCCACAAAGCAATGCATCACCTCTTCCAGGCAGACAATTTGGTCGGCAGAGATACACTGATGAACCTCAGATCAACAGTTCTTCCCCTTGCTTGCTGAAGAGAATACGTAGCTTTTAAAAGTCTTCTAACAGTGATGGAATCAAAGCCCGTATATTTTAGGAAAGAGAACCCTTGTTTTTCCACAGTGAGAAGTACAATTGAAGGA